CAGATGAGCAGTCTGGGAGAAAGAGACCAGATGAGCAGCCTGGAGGAGATTCAGACCAGAGTCACTTAGAAAGGACACTCTCCAACCTGCCGAAACTGTCTGCAGAGCGTGAAATGTGTCCAGGTTCCCAGCCTTTGGGAGCTGTCACCCATGCTGGGGTGGGCCTGGGTGATGCTGCTGCCTCTGAGTCATTTCCGCTCCCTTAATAACCCTTCATATCCCTGCAAGGAATAAAACTCACTGGTTCACCAAGTTGGACTTCGGTGGTGTCAATACTTTGGTCTCTATCTGGGGTGAGTGGATGTGTGATGCATCTTCTCAGAAGTTTTGTCCCACAACAATGCCACTTATGTGTGGGTACCTGCAGAAGCAAGAAGAGGACATCTGATCCCCTGGAGCTGGAGTTACGGGCAGTTGAGAGCTGCCATACATGGGTGCTGGGATTGAAGACTCTGGTCCTCTGTAAGAGGACTCTAGCCCTCTACCAAGTCATCTCTCTAGCCCGTAAAATAAAGCACCATCAAGTGGGCTTCCCAATGCCAAGACTGACCACAGAAACACCAGTGGTCCTCAGAGGCTTGGCTTATACTAAACTCTGTGCTTGCAGTGGCCTCTCATACCTGACTCCCCTCTTAGACAGGAAGAAGTCCTTGGGAGGCAAAGTTACTGTTGGGTACATGTGTTTTCCTCAACGTTCTAATAAACAGTTCAATAAATCTGCTAGGTACATTCTCTCTCTTAATCAGCAGGAGCAGGGGAGATGGGATGTTGGAATTTGCATTCTGTCTCTAGCAGATGCAGACTTAGGAAGTGAGCTTCTGGACTGGGAGGACAGCTCAGAGATAGGTTCACCTAGCACGTGTGAAACTTTAAGTTCCTGGTACTGAAGAGAAAAAAAAACAAAAACCCAAACAATAATAAAGTGAGTCCCTGTCATTCAGGCCCTTAATCAAGGACTCAATATCTACTCCGATATCATCACCAGTTAAGTCAAAGCAAGGATTCTCAACACTTATTTATGTGTGCACACGTGGAGGGGAGAGGTCTGTGATAAAATGATGGGTGTCTTCTCAGTCACTCCCCAGCTTCTGTTTTTGGCAGGGTCTTTCAGTGGCTCTGATGCTCAGGGCCAGGGAACTCCAGGGCCATCTGCCTGCCCCCTCCGCACTGAGGTTACACCAGTGTGCTGCCACGCCCCATTTTTCCGCACACCGGTGCTAGCTCTGAACTCAGGTCATCACGCTTTTGTGGCAAGCACTTTCCCAACTTCGCCATCTCTCCAGCCCCTCCAAGGAATTTCTTATGCACACAGTCGTGAAGTTATCTTGAAAAGTGGCGTAGATTTACTTACTGAGACAGGATCTCCTGTGTGTAGGCCAGGCTGACCTTGAACTGGCTATGATCCTAAATTTCTCATTTTCCTGCCTCCACCTCCCAAGTGCTGGGATTCCAGGCATGTGCCACCAAGTGTGCCAGCACTTACATAGTGCTGGGGGGTTGCATTTAGGACTTTGAACCCATTAGGTAAGCACTCTACCAACCGAGCTTAATCCCCAGCCAAAAAGCAGCCGGCATTACCGAGAGGCTCTACAGCTCTGTGCCTCCATCTTCTCTTTGTGGCAATGTAGCCGCTTCAGTTTGTAAAAGATACATCTGTGCCAAGAATTCAGCTGGATATGACTTCCTGTTGCTTTTACCATAGAGGATGGAAGATGGTGTACCTTGGCAATCCTGGATCTCCACAGACTTCATCTTTACAGACATCGGCCTTTCTCTGGCAGTGGTTACACGGTTTAAAGTTAGGGCAGGTATAATAGAAGACATATTGTAAACTTATTGTTTAATGAAAATATCAAACTTAGAAAACTTCGTTCTAACACACACCCACTCACAGAAGAGAAGCTGCGGGTGTAGTACAGTAATAGAGCACTTACCTAGCATGCACAATCCCTGAGTTCAAATCCCAGCTCCACAAAATACTGAAGTAGAAAAACAACAAAGTAACTTTCCAAATTTTAGACTGAACCTTGCTTGTGGTGATAAGACCATACAAAGTGAGGGTCTCAGGTGTGGGTTGTGGCTCATGATGTGGTATTTTCCAGCTTGCTTCCAGAATATGAATTTATCTTTGGTTTTTTTGAGACAGGATCTGGCTAGCCTAGAACTCACTATGTAGACTAGGCTGGCTTCAAACTCAAGGGATCCTCCTGCCCCTGCCTCCTGAGTGCTGGGATTAAAAACGTATGCTACCATAACTGGCTAGAATGAATTGCGACAGGGTCTTGTGTGGCCAAGGCTAGCCTTGAACTTATGATCTCCTGCTGCAGCCTCACATTCTGAGCAGTTCTTGGTGGGTGGCATCATTTATAGCTCGTCATAGTTTCTGTCATCTCTGGATAGTGGTGTCTTGAATTATGTAGTGCAAAACCTGGGCAGCCTTTTATCACGGTTTTAACTGTCCTCAGGCAGGGTGGCACACCCACAATCCTAACATTTGGGAGACAAAGGCAGACCTGTCTTAGACTCAAGGTCAGTCTGGGCTACATATTGATGTCCCAGAAACAAATGACAAAACAAAATCTTAAGCTCAAACTTATTTGCTTCTGTTACCTTTGAGCCTTGCCTGGAGTTCAGAGTGCCAGGACCACAGAAGAGCACCACCATGCCTGGTGTTCAGGGTGACCTCTCACCCAGCACGGTGTTCATATCCTCCCTGAAATGAGATCTCTGCTGCCTTGGAAGCCAGTCAGAGACATGTAAAGTGAAGGTTAAGAAGCCCAAAGAATGGTCCACGAGGTACCCGTAACAGCAGACTCCCCAACTTCTACAGCAGCCAGGGCAGACTCGAAGTTCCGTTAAGTCTCAGGTGGGGGTCTCACTGTTTCAAGCAGGCAAGGGGTACTGAGACTTTCACTAGAAGACAAGGATACACCCGTAGGCATGTCCACACATGGTCCTATTTATTATCTCACTAGCACTGGCTTAACCCCACTCAAAAATTTCCACCAGACCAAAAGAAAAAAAAAATTGTGAAGAAGGAAATATCTTAAATACCCACTCAGCCTTTGTTTACACTGCTCCATTGTTTTTCTATGACGTAATGTGTTCAGTTCACCCCGCATAGCCTCTGCTGTACATTTGCATGGACTTGCCACTAACAAATCTCCCAGCCCTTTGTCGTGTGGGGATGGAACTCAGGGCCTTTCTCATGCTAGGCTAACTTTCCTTCCGTCAGAAGATGCCAGAACCCGAGTTTAGCGCGCTCAGTTGGGCTGTTCTGGAATGTAGAGTGCGGCCTGTAAAACTTGAAACGGTGCAATGGTGTGCTGGACTCAGCACACAGAGAACAAGGGGCAGCTGTTAGCTCGAGTTTGTCTGAAAGTCTACCAGAGCAGTAGCAAAAACAATACCATTTCTGCAGGCCTTAAAAAAAATACCTGCTCACTGCCCATCCCCCCTCCAACCTAGTGGGAGCAAAACAGCCTCGTGGGATGCCTGGCGGGGCCCTGAATGTCAGGTATCAGTTCTACCCGTTCACTGTATAGACGGGAAGTGGAGGGCCAGGGCGCTCTGTGTCAGCCAGGCAACTCTCTCATGGATGCACCCTCAGCTCCTCGACATTGTTTAGTCCTTTGGGTTATGGTAGTCTTTTCTCTCCTTGCCTGTAGTTATCCATGCACTATTTAGCATGTGTGAATCTGTGTGTATGTGTATATTTGTGTGGTACATGTGCACATGTGTAGAGGGCAGAGGTCAACCGAAGCCACGCACCTTGCTTTGGAATAGTGTCCCTCCCAGAGCCCCTGGGTTCACTGATGAAGCTAGGCAGGCCAGCCGGCAAGCCCCACGGGTCCTCTCAGCTCTGCTTCTCCAGTGCCGGGAGTACAAACTCACACAACCATGCCTGGTTTTTTAATGTGGGCTCCCAGGATCAAACCTGAGTCTTTGTGTTTGTGTGGTAAGTGCTTGTGGACTAAGTGATCCCTCCAGCCCAGTTTTCAATGTTTAAGGACATCTCAGGTCCACGTTGTAGCTGCTGACTCTGTAA